CTTGGCCGGCCCGGCTCCGGAGGGGCTGGGCGGGCCCCGCGGGGTCCCGCCGGCACCTTTGCGCTCCAGACCCCTCCCTGGCACCGTTAGCAAAGCTCCTGGGCTGCTGACGGCAGAGAAAAATAACTGCTGATGTGTGAATGTTTTTGCCCCTTAGCGACTCTGTTTACCCCTAGTGGGGAACTTGGGCTTTCTAGACCTGAAATGGGAAGTTGACGTCATCCTCCAAGTCCCTTGGCTGAAGAATTTAGTTCGGGCCCCCGGCCACTCACAGTCACCTGTGGTGTGTCTGGGTCTGGGGCTCCGGGTTCCCTTCTCCAAGTGGAGGCATTTAAAGCTCATCCGATTATGCACTTAAAACGGTACTTTGCGTGTTAGTTACACCTCAATAATATTGTCTATTAAAAAAAACCCAGAATAGCGACAAAACAAAGTAATATTTGGTTATAAACCAAAGTATAAAATACACACCCGTTAATCCATGCTGATAGCAATAAACAATTGGATATACGAATGAGGAGGGCGTAGACACAGTTCCTATGCAGAATTTCAAATAATTTTTGTGGGCCAGGCACGGTGGCTCACACCTGTCATCAGAGCACTTTGGGAGGCCAAGGCAGGAGGATTGCTTGAGCCCAGGAGTTCGAGATCACCCTGGGCAACATAGCAAGACCTCATCTCTGCAAAAAAATAAAAACGAAAAAATTGGTCAGGGATGGTGGCATACACTTATAGTCCCAGCTACCTGGGAGGCTGAGGCAGGAGGCTTGCCTAAACCCAGGAGGTCAAGGCTGTGAGCGATGATTGTGCCTCAGCACTCCAGCCTGGGCAACAGAGTGAGACTCTGACTCAAAACACATTTTTGTAGATTCTCAGAGGTGAAGCTTAATGTCCAGCTCCTTACTTACGAGCTGTGTGTAGGGAGTCTTCAAAGGAAGAAAAAGCTTTGTATGGAGAAACCTGACAAATATTACTTCAGCCCGGTGACCATGGTAAGTGACGAGTCGTGCTGACCACACGTTTTTTGTTTTTTGTTTTTTTTTGAGTTGGGTCTCACTCTGTCTCCCGGGCTGGAGTGCAGTGGCCGCTCCCAGCCACCACAGCCTCGACCTGCTGGGCTCCGGCGATCTTTCTGCCTCAGCCTTCCAAGTAGCTGAAACTACAGACGCACACCACCACGTCCAGCTAGTTTTTGTAATTTAGTGTGGAGACGAGGTCTCACCAAGTTGCCCAGGCGGGTCTCGAACCCACGGGCTCAGGCCATGCGCTTGCCTCGGTCTCCCAAAGTGCTGGGATTACAGGCTGAGCCACCGCACCCAGCCAAGGTACTCTTGATATGGTGTGATATGACATGGTCTTCTTCCCAATTAACATATAACCCTAGTCTGATGGTGAGGAAAACATCAGACAAATCCCAGTTGAGGAACTGTCTGACCTGTACCTCTCAAAACTGTCAAAGTCAACAAACAGCCCCATTACAAAGTGGGCAAAAGATATGAATAGGCACTTCTCAAAAGAAGACATGTTAGCCGGACTCGGTGGCTCAGCCTGTAATCCTGCGCCTTTGGGAGGCTGAGGTGAGT